TTTCTGAAACCCGAACGCCGGATGGCTTGGTTTTTGGTTTGGGCGAACACCAAGTGTTTTTAATGACTTAAACATGTTTGAAAAACATTTTTATGATTTAGGAAATGTAAAGAAGGATTTTAGCCTAAAGAGCCAATGCGTGAGGGTTGGGTCGGTCTTGATTACAATTATGACCGACTCAACAAAGCTAAGGACTTCGGTCTTCGTTCTTGGTCTCTTTTGGCTCTCGTTTAACTTTCCATTCTTCGCCTTGTATATTCATTGTTTGACTTGATCACGGCGGTTTGGCATTATCAAAACCTGTTACAAAAACGAACACGGCTTTAGTACGAAAACGTGACAAGCCCGTGTTTCAACAATTTCCCCCTTTTTGATAATGGCAAACGAGATGAGGTTATGCATATGAGGATTTGTTTTTTTTAAAAAAAAAAGTTCCCCCTGAATAGATGCCAATTTATTAAAAAACTCCCCCTCAATTGTGCATAACCTTGATATCTTCCCCCTTTTGACATTAACAAAAAGAATTAAAGTAAACTTTAGAACTTGAAAGTTTACTTTTATTGCTTAAGAAAAGGGAGATGCAGAATACAACGGAATGGAAATTTTAAAGAAAAAAAATCATAGTAGGAAAGGAAAAGAAGGGAGAGTCTAGGCAGCGGCGTCCTCATCCTCGGTGTCATCGTCTTCTTCGTCGTCCTCGACGTCCATAGGATCCCCGTCGACCGCGTCCTCAAAGTCGGCCTCGTCGGGGGAGGAGGACGGAGCATAGGAGTTGTCGTCCTCGTCCTCGCCTTCATAGTTTTGGCCGAGGAAGGTGCTGTCAAAGGGCGGCAGGACGTAGTTGATGCCGCGGAAGTACGCCCTCATGTCGTGGCCTTGGCGTTGTATCGACGAGTCCATCCTCTCCAGGTACTGGCCCATGCCATCCACGGTGACGGTTAGCCGATTCAGTGTATCGGCTATGGACTGCAGTGAGGCCCGAGCGGGAGCGGGGGCATGGGCAGGGGGAGGTGCACGGGCCCGACTCGGTCCAGCGCCTGTTTGGTCACCGGACTTCTTCCGGAAGGTGCTGTCTTGGATGAGCCACAGCTTCGTCATCTTCGTGTCCGGCCCGGCGATGTGGATGTCGGCGGAGACGATGAGGTCCATGACAAGGAAGGCGTATGGCAAGCTCCTTTCGGTGGCGATTGAGGCGCAATCCGTCATGTGAATCATGACGTATTTTGCCCAATTGATCGAGGCGCCATGGATGATAGCGTGCACTACCCTGAGATCTTTGTTGGAGAGACTGGTGTGGCTACTGTCCCGAGGGCGAAGAATCCGGGTGATGATGTAGAGGAGGAGGCGCTTCTCCGGTGGGGCCGAGTGAATCGTCGGTGCGCCGCTGTGACGGATCAAGTTGGTGATCCCGAGCTCACGAATGACGACGACCTCGTTGTTGAGGATCTAATCGTCGCCTCCGTATGACGCGATGTCGTCACCGCGGGTAGGCAGCCCTGCGACCCTAGCAAAAGTAGCCAAGTCAAACTCTATGTCATAGAGATTGATGCTGCTCCGGATGGTGTCCCCGTCCCAGCGGAGATTGGAGTAGAAGGCCCGACTCTGGAGACGAACGGCCACAGACCCGACTCTTTGAGTTGATTGTCGAGGTCGTGGTACCCCTTTTGTTGAGGGTACAGCTCCGGGAGCACGCGGGGCGGAGAGATCGGGCGTTTGGCGAAGTAGGTGATGAAGCGTGTGAGTTCTTCTTCCGACCCGAACTCCAAGAAGGATCCGTCCAGGTACGGGAAGGGTTGAGGCGCAGAGCTTGTGGCCTCGGCGGCGGTCTTCTTCTCGGATGCCTTGCTTTTGGACTTTCCTCCGGCCATGATAGCGTTTCTTACGAAAAAGTGATGGAAAGAGTGAAATTTGCTAAAGGAATGAGAAAGTGTTGTGAATTGTGTGTTAAAAATGTGAGAGATGATGTGAATATATAGGGAGAGGAAGCTTAAACCGTGTGAATTCAAAAAATATGGCTGTTGGGCATTAAATTCGGTGCCCAACGGCCATAATTTTTTAATTTCAACTGCCTTCCCATCGATGGTAAGGAAGTTCCCATCGATGGGAGGGTCGCTACTGGAAAGCGAAAATAAAACAAGGCTGCCTTCCCATCGATGGTCAAACTCACCCATCGATGGGAGGGTGGCTACTGGAAATCCGAAAAGATGTTTTTAAAAAAGTGTCAGACACCCAGCGAAAAGATGTCCGAAAAGATGTCGGAAAAGAGTTCTTCACCCAGCGATGGGATAAAATACCCATCGATGGGTTAGGGTGTTCTGGAAATCCGTTAAGTATTTTTTTAAAAAAAATAGAGTCAATTACCCATCGATGGGAGAAAGTACCCATCGATGGGAAGAGGGGTTCTGGAAAAATGAAGACTTCCCTCCCAGCGATGGTATAACCCACCCATCGCTGGTTCCCCCTGATTTCCAGAATTTTTCACTTCGAACCATCCCTGCAAAAAATAACACTTTGGTACCCAAAGTATGTCTATGAGTCCTTGGGGGTTAGCTAACCTTTATTGCCCACGCACACACCCAAAACTCGTTTCCTTACACACACACACATACGATTAGATGATCGTTTATGAGTTACCTTGGCCAACCCATGATCTCGTGGTTGGCGGGTTCCAGTCTACCTGAACGGAGTGCCGATATCTCGGTGTGATTTGTGTTGGTTCCGGTAACGGAATGTGGACTTTCTTCTTTTCGTCAAAGTAGAAGAAATAATACGGTTTCTTTTGTGCGTTATCCTGTGGAGATTGTTTATGATACGAATATCCTTTTCTAAAGGATTTCTTTTCGTTAGCACCAAATATGTTGTGTGTTTCATTATAGGTGAGATGCCTATGTCTAGTAAAACACACGGGAGCTATATGTCCTACCCTATTGCAATAATGGCATACTACGTTTGGGTTGAACATATAATAGCTAGGGGGTCTAACCATATTCATCCTATTTTGAGAAAAGGATGGTTTATGCACGTTTTCAAAAGAATCATTTCTAGGTGTCCTCATGTTATTTCTCCTATTTTGAGAAAAATTATTATTATGCATAAAATTATTTTTCTTAGGTTGTCTACCATGAACATTTTCATTCCTAGGTTTTAGTTTAGGTTGTCTA